CCCCAAAGTGAGTGGGAGAGCAAACTGGGACCCCCGAAACCAAGCGTGGAGGGTGCTGAAGATTGGGGGGCAATGAGAAAGGAGAAGGAGGCAGGGAGGGGGTAAAAGGGGAGTGGGACCCCCAAGCTGAATGTGGGAGGAGCTGAGGATTGGGGGACAATGGGAAAAACCATGCGAGTGGGGGAAATAGGGGCAGCTGGGACCCCCAAACAAAATAGGAGAGTTGTGGGAGAATCTGGGACCTGCAAATCAGGCGTAGGCTGGGCCAGGGGGATGATGGAAAAGGGATGGGGGGTGGGAAAGGGGTGATGGTATTCCTAAACTGAGCGGGAAGGGGGCTGAAACCCTGCAACTGAGCAGAGCAGGAGGAGGGGAAATACCCCTAAACCAAGCTGGGGGGAAGCTGGGGGGAAGCTGGGGATTAAGGGAATGATGAGAAAGGATGAGGAGAGAGAAAAAAGGTGAGTTGGAAACACCTGGAATTGGGATAAACATAAAGAAATTGAATAAAGACATGTAAACCCCCACCACTTTATAGGGATTTGGGGTTTGGGGGAATATTCAGGAGGATTTTGTGGTTCTGAGAGGGTTTGGGGGAGTTTTCTCCATCCCTTTGCTCCCAGAAGTTGAGAGGGATCGATCTGTTGCCACAAAATGACTCAATGCCACTGAAATTGCCTCAATCCCACCTCAGAATATTTTGACCCCCACCTCAAAATGACTGAATCCCACCCTAAAAGTACTTGGTCCCACAGCTGCCTCTAAACCCCTGGGAGGGTGGGATGGCAACTGGGAGGTGTGAGATGGGGATTGGGAAAGCTGGGATGGGGTCTGGTAGGAGACAGCTAAAGGTTGGGGATGAAGAGGCCAGGGGGGGACCCCGTTCCTGAGGGGGTTTCAGGGTATCCCTCTGAAGTTCTGAGGCCTGAACAACGGGCCCTGAGCCAGAGCTGATCTCTAGATGAACCTTCCAACCTACTGTTATATATAGTCATGTATCTGCTTATTAGCCAAAATCCTACGTAATCCTTAGTAAAATACGTAATACTAAACATGATTGTAAGATATGTTGGTATCTACTTAATTAGTGAAGATTTGTATTTTTTATTAATGTATCTATCTTTCTGTATTTAGAGACTGGTCAAGGCCATGGAAGTAGATAACTGGCCTTATTGGACAGTAGTTTGTCCAAACTGACTCCCTTGATTTTCCTCTGAGTCCTGGCCAGGCTTTGGGTGAAAATTAAGGAGAGAAGAAAGCTAGACATTTTCCACACTAAGCCATGATGTAAGCTTGTTTGTTTGACAGTATAAAAGCTGGACCCTCTCACAGCGAGGACAAAGGCCTCACCTGGGAGTGGATGCACTGCATAGGATTTCCCAGTTCCCAGGCTGGTTCTCTGGCCCTTCACTGTGACAGCTGATGGTAATGCATTAAATGGGGTAACTGCTGATGTATCTTTCTTAATCACTATAGACACTCTTTGTAGCAATGATTAGGTGCATTGCTAAGCTTATCCTTTTATAATTCTTGGCTTCTTTTGTAATTCTTTGCTGTTTTGCACTATAGTACATTTATAGACTTATTCTTTAAAGTTGGTATCTGTGTTTCTTGTGCTGATCCTCGTCCCCAGTGGCAAAACGAGCTGAATGTTGGGGATGATGAGGCCAGGAGGGACCTCTTTCCTGAAGGGATTTTGGGGTATCACTCCTTCCTGAGGAAGTTTTGGGGTACCCTCCAGTACTGAGGGAGTTTTTGGGGTGCCCCCAATCCTGAGAGGGGTACTGGGAGATTTGAGTGGGAACATGTGGCTCCAGCACTTGGAGTTGGGCACCATAAGGAGGGACACAAGGAGCTTGTTTTGGAGATGATCCTGCTGCTTGCCGCCGATTTTGGGGGCTAGAAACATCTTTTGGGGTTCTCCCTCCTCATTCTCAGGGGCTGAGGTGAACCTATGCCCACATAGTGGGTGTAGGGAACTGAGATTATGACCCTGGGAGAAACTTAGAAGGGGAATTTGGCAGGATAAACGCGGACGTGGTGAGATGTGTCCCTCTGTGTGGGTGTAGCAGTTTTAGTATAGAATCATGGAATCACAGAATCATCTGGGTTGGAAGGGACCTCCGAGATCATCAAGTCCAACCCTTGATCCAACCCTGCCATGGTTCCCAGACCATGGCACTGATGCCGCATCCAGTCTTATCTTAAACACCTCCAGGGACGGAGAATCCACCACTTCCCTGGGCAGCCCGTTCCAATGCCCGATTACCCTCTCTGGAAAGAATTTCTTCCTAATATCCAACCTAAACCTCCCCTGGCACAGCTTAAGACCATGCCCTCTTATCTTTACTAATAGCTGCCTGGGAGAAGAGACCAATACCCACCTGGCTCCCCCCTCCTGTCAGGGAATTGTAGAGAGTGAGGAGGTCTCCCCCGAGCCTCCTCTTCTCCAGGCTGAACACCACCAGCTCCTTCAGCCTCTCCTCACACCACTTGTGCTCCAGTCCCTTCACCAGCCTCATTGCCTTTCTCTGGACCTGCTCCAGCACCTCAACATCCTTCCTGAACTGTGTGGCCCAGAGCTGGACACAGCACTCCAGGTGTGGCCTCACCAGCGCTGAGTCCAGGGGAAGAATCGCTTCCTTGGACCTGCTGCCACACTATTCCTCAGCCAGGCCAGGATCCATTGGCCCTCTTGGCCAGCTGGGCACACTCTGGCTCATGTTCAGCTGCTGTCAATCCACACTCCCAGCTCCCTTTCTGCCTGGCTGCTCTCCAGCCACTCTGGCCCCAGCCTGTGGGGCTGCCGGGGGTTGTTGTGGCCAAAGCACAAGACCCAGCACTTGAACCTCATCCCCTTGAAATCAGCCCAACTCTCCAGCTTGTCCAGGTTCCTCTGCAGAGCCCTCCTGCCTTCCAGGAGATCAACACACCCCCAGCTTGGTGTCACCTGCACATTTGCTGATGGTGGACTCAATCCCTTCATCTAAATCATCAATAAAGATATTAAATAGAACTTGGCCCAGCACTGATCCCCGGGGACACCACCAGTGACTGGATCCCAACTGGATGCAGCTCCATCCCCACCACTCCCTGGGCCCTTAACCCAGCAGAGTGCCCCTGTCCAAGCCCTGGCTGCAGCTTTTCCAGGAGTGTGCCATGGGAGACAGTGTCCAAGGCTGTGCTGCAGTCCACGTAGACACATCCACAGCCTTCCCCTCATCCACCAAGTGGGTCACTTTGTCATAAAAGGAGATCAGGTTGATCAGACAGGACCTGCCCCTCCTAAACCCGTGCTGGCTTGGTCTGATCCCTTCCTGGCAACCAGCTCGAAACCAGGGAAGTGCCCTGTGTTTCCAGAATTCCATTCTATTCCTTACGTAAGCAGAGGTATTAATACAAGGGGGAGGAAATTGGCTGGCCAGACCTCTTCTGGCCGGGTTGGAGAGAAGGGGCAGCCTCACTGAGCTCCTGTGAGGGGCTGTGGGGCCTCACAGGCCTCGGGAGGTGGTTGCTTCGTCCCGACTCGTAGGAGAAGTCTGTTGGCACAGTTCTGCTTTCTCAAGGGAAGTATTAAGATTCTTTTTGTTTGCTGGCTCTCTATTAGCCATGTATATTTGGGTATATCTGTTTTTCATTTTTTGGGGGGTTCTCTTTTCTATGTGTATAGGTTTTTGTAACTGCAATTCAGTGTAAATATATAAATATTGCTTTAGTTCATTTTATTTCGGGTCCTTTGGGGTTTTTTTCCCTTTTCCCTTCTCTCTCCTTTACCCAGTGTGGGGGGGAAGACATTTGCTGTAGTTCGGGGACATTGGCTGGGAAACTTTGGGTTATCTCGGTTTGTTTTGGTACAGTGTCTGGGAATGTTTGGGAACATTACCGGGAAAGCTGCCAAGAGCACTTTGTTTATATAAACATGGCTCTTAGTTTTGGATAAATTCAGATGTTGGTTAGCAAAACAGACAAATGCTACTAGTCAGGCTATTGCAGATTTATTGACCAATGCTCAGTCAGTAAGACACGTTACTTTGAAAAATAGAGCTGCTATTGACTTTTTGCTTTTAGCACAGGGACATGGATGGGAAGGATTTGATGGAATGTGTTGCATGAACTTGAGTGACAAATCAACCTCCATTCACAAAAGCTTTACAACAGTTACAGGACCTAACAAAGAAACTGACGGTGAAAAACAGATGGAACCCCTTTGAAGGATGGGATTGGACTTTGGGATTGGGGCCATGGGTGAAAAAGATTTCAACCCTTGGTGGTACAAGTCTATACAGCTTTAACTTAAGTGCCTTAGAAAAAAAAGAAGAGGGAGATGTAGGGAACCGAGATTACAAGACCCTGGGAGAAACTTAAGGGGAACTTGGCAAGATAAAAGTGGATGTGGTGAGATGTGTCTTTGTGTGGGGAAAGGTGCTTGGGAGTATTTTTTTCATGGGCAGTGAATGCTTAACTAAAAAGTAGGTCTAGAGAAGAGTTACTAACAGGAACTTACTGCTGCTGTAACGGGGTATATAAACCATGAAAGAACTGTAATAAAGGATTCCATTACACCTCATGGCATCTGTGCCTGAGATGTCACAGACACCCACCTGGCTACACCCTCCTGTCAGGGAGTTGTAGAGAGTGAGGAGGTCTCCCCTGAGCATCCTCTTCTCCAGCTCCCTCAGCCTCTCCTCACACCACTTGTGCTCCACTCCCTTCCCCAGCCTTGTTGCTCTCCTCTGGACCTGCTCCAGCCCCTCCA